CTGAAGACGGAGCAGCCGAAAGAAAATAAAAATAAAACAATAGAAAATGAAAGTTCGAAGAAACAAAAGCCAAAGTGTCTGAACGAGCTGAAAGTTTTGATTTACAAACAGCTAAAGAAGCACAACGTGTGCGAGAGCTTTTGGATGAAATTAAAAACAGTTTAGTTAACGTTGAGTCGGTTTCACGTTTTTGTTGCTCATCAAAACAAACGTTGTCGTTAAGACAAAACAAAAATATATAAAAATATATAAAAGAGCTTCAAAGGACCTCATCAAATCCTTTTCACGTCTCTGCAGCTCGTCTGTGTCTGAACTTCAGACAAAAGAAGCAGAAATTGGGTCACAGCAGCTTTTCTCACCAGGCGAGGCGTCTCTGAACCCCCGCCGACTCCCCCGCCGACTCCCCCGCTGCTGCGTTCCACCTGAGAGGACCAGACGTCCGTCAAACGTTCCCTCCACACAAAATCAATGAAACATGAGCTAAAGTTTTAAGCAGAACCCTGCAGGGACTCAAACCTGCTCCCTGCTGTTCGTACGCCCGCTGATCCACACTGACACGTTCCTGTTTGACTTCAGATCTTCTCCAGCAGCACATCCACACGTCAGCTGCATATCGGTTTCTTAACACTTTCTACGTTCACCTTTAGCTGCTAAGACAAACTTCAATGTGTCTTCAAGGATTCGTTTCTTCCAGGAGATAAGACAAGGTAGAAGTTGTTTAAAGACACAGTCGGCTCATGTCTAAAGTTCAGCTCAGCTTCTCATCACACGTGTCATCGGTCATACGACATAAAGAGGCAAAAGTCTTCATCCAGCCTCGGCTAATGGCCAGCACCTGCTTTACCGGATGAGCAAGTAAAATCAGCTTAAGGTTTACTGAGCTCCTGCAGACTGAGAGTCAGTCCCAGGCTTTAAGGCTAATTGTAGCATTCGGCTGTTTGTATAACAGCCGTGGTTTTCAATGAAACCAAAGCTTTTTAAAGTCCGGCCTCAGAAACAGCTGCAGTCGTGTTTCCACGCCTGCGAGAGCAAACAACGGAGACAACAACGATGGAGAGCGCCCAAAGTTTCTTTCGGCTGATCCATTCTGCAGGGGTCGCCACATGTTCTCCCATGTCTGGGTTCTATGGAGGTCTTTCATAAAGGACGAGCGGACCAGGAAGGTGTCCAAAGAAGACGCTAGTGGACACGTCCTGGGAGGACGAGGAAGAGGCAGCAGAAGTTTACGAAGGATGAAAACAAAGAAGAGTCGTGACCCAGAACCTGGACCGTTGGGTCAACAACCACCAGAACTGATGGAACGAGTTGTTAATCAGGACGTTTTTCATGTTTAACGTCTTTAGTACTTTTTCTTCACGATGGTTCTGACATCACGTCTGTGTCTTTAAGACATTCATTAGTTAAAACGACAAACCAGTCAATCCAGTTCAGACCTGGACTGGAATCTGAAGAGAGGGGAACGAACACATTATGAGACCGAGTAGACGGGCTGGATTTAGCGGAGTGGATCTTACTGATTCTTTCTTCAGGCTTGGAGGAGGCGAGAGGTTCCATTAGAGCAGGTGAGTGATGAGGAGCAGGTGAGTGATGAGGAGCAGGTGAG